TCTAAGTATTGTTACTATTTAATTTTTATTTCCTGTATTTTACCCAATTTTTAATTCATAACAGGGCTGTAACTGTCATTCTGAAGTTACCGTATTTTTTTTCCCTAGTGGCCTCCTATGAGGGACTTAATCACAGGTTCTGGAAAGACTAAATCAATCATATCCTCCAATTCTTCTTTATCTATGATTTCATTAATTCTTTCAAATAATTCTAACAGAGAAGAATTATTCGTTTTAACAGGAACTTTGCAGGATTTCCCTGTTTTCTTTATAGTTTATAATTCTATTTTTAGTGATCCTCTCAATATTTTTTCAGTACTAAAATAAGACTTACTAGTCTGTAATTCCCAAGATCATCATTAGCACCTTTTTAAGAGATGGGTACAACCTTGGCCACTCTCCAGTCCTCTGGTACAGTAGCTGTTTTTAATGATAAATTACATATTTTTGTTAGCAGCTTAGTTACAATGGTCTTCAGTTTCTTTAGAACTCTCAGATGAATACCATCTGGTCCTCCTGATTGATTGCAATTTAATTTCTCGAGTTGTTCCATCACCTTTTTGATATTCCTATTTCTGACAATGCTTCACTTTCAACACCTAAAAAGAAGGTATTTCATCCTTTTTGGTAAACAACAGATATCACTTAGGTTTTTCCTTTTTGCTTCTTTAATATAGATAAACAGGAAGGAAAAAAATAAAATAAAATAAAGCAAGCAGCCTTTCCCTGCTCTGTTTGTCAAGGGCTTAACATTTTATTTAAAAAATAGTAAAGATGAACCTGAGATTCCTAAGTCAGACAATATAATAGTGCCAGACACCTAACATTTCTACTTCCATTTATATTTTCTATTAATTGTGGCTTATGTTTTTCAGCATAAAATCAATAGTGGAATGTAGTGGAAAAACTGTCAAGGGGAGTATGTGTAATATTTTTTATTTTTAGTGTTGAATTGTTTGCTGTAGCCGTGTAGAATTTATATTATCTATAGCAACAGAAGTTAGAGAAAAATAACTCAAAAGACAAGCTTCTGCAATGGAATGTCTCACTGACAAACAAGCAAGCAAAGAAAAACAAAACTATTACCATACTGAGACGAAAATGGGACAAGGAACAAAAGTATCATCATTAGTGTCAATTGACAGAATACTTCTCAACACTACATATTCACCCTCCCCCAGCACAAACTGGCAGACTTCTCACCATTGTTGTCATTTTTCACTGTCTTTTAGTTAGACTAAGCTCTTCAGATAGGGACCTCATCTGTTTTATGTCTGTAAAGTTCCATGTATGCCAGTTGTGGTATTTAAACTGCAACAATTCTGTGTTTGAACACATGCTAGTAAATATGCGAGTTCAAATCAAAGGTAACTATTAGTTTAAAACACCATCAGGAACTGTTCCAGAAAAAGTGACCTTTCAAGCTAAAACCAAACAAGCCAACTTTATAGTGTCTTGAGGTCAAGTCTTCTCTTTCACATGACTTCAGGGTCTTTAGGTACATGCTATCCTGAAGTAAACCACACAGAATGTTATGATCAAGTAAATTCCAGCCATCCACTGAGACATAGCAACAAGATTCAAATGAATTGTCACACAGAGTATCCAGAATCAGGCTCAGAAGCAAAAAGGAAAATTTGTAACGGATAGGAGATTAACTTAAAAATAACAGAAAAATAATTCAAACAATGATTAATTATAGTGAGAACATGTAGTTATTTCTTTTTCAGATAATTTGGATCTTTGTATTGCAACTTTCTCATCACAACTTGAAACCTGTCAAAGGGATTTGTGTCTGACATTTTAAATGAAGGATTTAGTTGGACAGACAGTGAACATCTCTTTTGCAATTAGTTTTTTTGAGGTCACTTTTCATTAAAAATATTTTTGTTTTTCTACTATGACAATATTTTGAGTGCGTGTATGTTAGACTGTTTGAGAAATATATGAATACTTTATTCACTGTTAAGGACAGTCCCATCATAACATTTCTGTTGGGCTGCATCAGAATTTCTTTCCAGCTACCCAGTATTTCCTGCTTGTATATGATTCTAGACCAAAAAAAGAAAAGAAAAAAAAAAGAAGGTGATTGACATATGACACTATAAAAAGTATGCATCAATAATAAATGGACAGTTTTAACTTGTGTTTCTGTTTCTTGTTTGTGTTTTATTAATTTCATTTTTGGAATGTTATCCAGATCTTCTAGGGATAATGTCTTTTCTCCTGCTCTGTTTTTTGTTGGTTTGGGGGAGGGGGTGTTTGGGGGGTTGTACATTTACACAAACTGAATTTAAATTTGATGCAGATGATTTTTTTAAAATTCTTAAACTGAGATTAAATACTGGGGCAGAGAAGGACATTTTCAAATTCAGGGGAGGGGTAATACATTTAAGAAAATTGTCCCCTTTATCATTGTTCTGATACAGTCCTCTAGTAAGAGAAAGTGTATGTACAAAACAATTCCTATTTACCTGTCACATGCCTGTGGCTTTGCTTGCAGTTTCAGGAAAACAAATCCAGGATTATGTTAGAAGCTAAGGTATGTGCTCTTAGGTGTTTGTATACCTATATAAATAAGAAGCAAAATCATAGAAACTAACTGGCTCTCTGGGTTAAAGTACTAGCCTATAGAAGCCTCAGGTCATCATAAATGAAATTGTTGTGCTAGTCTAAATATGGTCCCTAGTGGACACTTCCTCATATCACAAACCACCAGAGAATTTGGCACAATTCACATTCTAGTTCTTAAAATACTACTGATCAGTATTTTATCTAAGTTTAGCTTCACAGTGCCAAGCTATACACAGTAGTATTGCTTTGGTTCTCTGAGTACTTAAGTAATCCAAAAAAGTTTTAAGAATCCAGTTTATACTTCCTATTGTGTTTCAGTTCATATCTTCCCAGAGTAGGCAAATAAGATGTAATTGTTAATAAATTTGTTTCTGGGATGATGTGGTATGATATAGTGCTGTTTCAGTGACAGCTGGCCATCATTTGGGGCCGTTTCTAGATTTTTGGGAAATAGTATCCGATGAGCTGAGTCAGTAAAAGAGACATAATTATGGTTTGTGTGTGTGAGTGTGAGAGAAGACAATATAAATGTGTGTTTCTAAGACTGAGGCAGGGGAAACAAGTCAGTGCTTAAGCAAACAATGATAATATGAACATGATAGAGCTATTTAAGTGAGCAGAACACCACAGTTGGCATGCAAGAAAAAAAATACCGAAACAAAAAGGATAGTGCCCAGTGACGGGAAAAAAGTTTTAGAAATGTAGGGTGCCTTTTTGCTCTGTTCAAAAAGTCTACTTTAATTCATACAAAAGCCTGGTGTAGATTTTATCCAGACTTTGCGTCCAGCACCCACAGCTGTGGATTACAGATGCTTCCTGTCATGTATAAACACAATCCTTATGTGAAAGCATGGCACCCACATTGCTACCTAAACAGCCATTGCCCTGGACTGAAGTGCTTTGTTCTCTTTTAGTTACCATATTTTTGTTCCTATGTAAAGGACTCTTCCAAAAGTTATCAGTGGCAATCTGTGATACCTTTTTTTCTATGTCAACTAAATAAGTTTGTTACTTGTAAAGTATGTCTCCAAACATAACCCTGGTCTTCAATCAGAAAGATTGCTGTCTTGATGCACAGTGATATATAATGACACTTGTTTGATTGACAGCATGGATGTAAACAAAAGTGAAC